GAGAGCGTCTTTAAAAGCGGGGGGGCTGACAAAAGATAAAAGAAAGTAAAAGATGGATATTATTAAGCTGTAACACAATCAAGATCAGAACTGGAGGAAAGAGAGAAGAGAGGCAGGCTTGGACCTACGCCCCTGAACGTGAATGGTCTAGCAATGACTGCACCACAAAAGAGACAAGTCATTTGGGATCAGATAAAGAGAGTGGGAGAGAGTGACTGGCCAAATGTTATCTGCGTTCAAGAGACACATCTGATGGATACGGCAGATCACCACTATGCACATAAAATGATCTGGTCGCACCAGGCCTTCAGGTCACATGCCCCGCGACCGGGGAGCGTCGGAGTTGCCATCTGGCTTCCCCCGGACTCTAGGGCTATACCAGTGGATTGGGATGCAGATCGTGAGGGAGGAAGATGGGTATCAATCCTGATCATGCTGGAGCTAAAAGTAGTGAGAATACTCTGCATTTATGGTCCAAATGAGGTGGGGGAGCGGAAGTTTTTTTTCTAGAACATAAAGGATAAGGTTCCGCAATCCCCACAAAGGATTCTCATAATTGTAGTGAGTGACTTTAATGCCACACCGAACAGATGGCTAGGCAGATGACGCATACCATCCCCGTGCCCGACATACGTGGGGACGGATGAACAAATTGTGGCTGACCTTTGCTCCTCCCTATATGTGTACGATTCATTCCGTAAACTACACTCCACCAGGCGCACTTTCTCTTGCTTACGGAAAAATCGACCTAAAAGACTCATCAGATCAAGAATTGATTTAATATTAATCTCCACGGCAATTGAAGGCTCTCTCCTAATTACAGAAATCTCTCCGCACAGCCCATACCCTGGCCTGGACCACACTATATGTGCGGTGATCCTCTCATTTCGTAAAAATCTGACCAAGGGTCGGGGTTTTACAAACTGAACACCTCAATGTTGACACAACATTCATTCCAATCTTTTGTCAAAGACAAGTGACACTATTGGCAGTCACACAAAGATACAGTTCAGAACGATATTGTATGGTTCAATAATGGCTTAGCCTTCCTGACAAAGAAATGTTGTGAATACTCTAAAAGGGTAGCTGGATAGAGGAATAGAGAGGAGATTGAACTCCAAAACCACTTACAAGATTTAAACCAACAGCAAGAGCAAACCCAAGGAGAAATCAGTAACGACCTATCTGTTGCTATATAACAAACAAAGGCTCGCCTCCTCAACATAACTGAGCATAGATGGAATGGTACACGAATAAGAGGCAAGCTTAAAAAGCAAAGGACGGAAGGAACCATGAACGTACATTTTTTTACTATGGCCAGACTTGGGACTGGGAGGACGACTATTGATGCCCTTACAGATCCGACACATGCCCGAGGACAACCATCCACAACTACACCCCAATTTGTCTATATAGCTAAAAAATTATACCAGAATTTTTTTTCATCCCAGTGTAAACACTCTCCTGAGGACCAAAGAATCCAGAAAATTTGTGATTTTTTTGCCCTACTCCCAAAACAATTTGTAGAGCAACAAAGGGCAGCCCTGGAGATGCCGATTACCAAGGAGGAGATATGGGCTGCAATAATGCAGATGGAGGAGAAAACTCCTGGAATAGATGGGCTGCCAAGGAAATTCTTGGAGACAATGTGGCCCTCCCTTTCGCAAGATCTGATGAATACTATCAAACGGTCTGGACAACGGGACAAATGAGAGAATTCGTGGGGCAGGGGATATTGACCCTACTCCACAAGAAAGGGGACAAAATGAATATTAGGAACTATTGATCAACTACGCTTTTGACTGTGGTATATAAAATGATCGTAAAGGCATTGACAAATTACACGAGCCCGCTGATGCTGGATATCATACATCCAGCACAAACCGGCTTTATTAAAGGAAGGGAGATTCATGATAATACCCTCCTCATTAATGAGGTCATTAAACCGTTCTGCCGGTCAATAGATACAACGTCCCCATAATTTTTATGGACTTTGAAAAAACATATGATCATGTGGATTGGGTTTTTCTTAATGAATGTTTAGAAAAACACAATTTTGGTCCAAGGTTTAGGCGTTGGGTGAAGATTCTTCATCAGAATGTTACGACGAGGATGCAGGAAAATGGCAGACTGACGCCTCCCATTTGCCTGAAACGGTCAGTGCGCCAACGCAAATCAATTGCCCCCTTTTTGTTCGTAATAATTATGGAAGCACTGACATCTAACCTGTGCACCCATAAACAAATCAATAAAATAAGGGTTACTTCTATTCCAGAGGACGCTATCCCTAGATGTTTTCTCTTTGCTGATGATCTCACCCTCATGGTGCAGGCCTCAACCGAAAACGTGGAGGAAGTTCGTCGACCGATGGACCGGTTCTGCAATCTCTCAGATATACGAGTGAATTGGGGGAATAAAATGGAAGGCTGGTGGATACACTACCAAGGGGTTAGACCGCCAGAGTCCCCAAGGCTTAGATGGATGCCGAAGGAAGCCCCGATCAGAGTATTAGGAGTCAAGCTATCGGTAGAAGGACGACCGTCCTTGAATGACGAATGGCTGGTACAGCCAGTCATAGAGAAACTGAACAGTTGGAAAGATACCAAAACCTCGTTGATGGGTCGAGCTCTGGTAAATTGGTAATCAATAACGTGACACTGGCCTCCTTATGGTATAAAACCGCCCTCTTCACTCAACAAACCGGCGATGGCTACCCTCCAGCAACAGGTGGCGACATTCCTGTGGAGAGGGAGCCACGATTGTCCTAATATCATTAGCAAAGTGGCGTGGCAAGCGGTGATTCAACCAAAAACCAAATCTGAACTGGGGATCATAGACCCAACTACTTAGGTGATGGCCATAGCCCTGCAGTGGGTAAAACACGTGCTTTTTGATCCACAGACCTCATGAAAAGCATTGACATTGCCACAAATAAGCAGGCTGGCCCCGCTGGTCCCCCCGTACATAGACCCGATGACCTGGCTGGAGGACCAGTACTGGCCTGTTCCTAGACCATCACCATTGACTCATTGAGAGAGGGCGAACTCGGTACATACAGGCAAGCAGCCAGAAGGGATCTGCAAAATGATGCCTTCTGGACCTCACTTATAAAAACATGGAGCAACC